ATATATATATATATATATATATATATATATATATATATATATATATACACACACACATATATATACTACATAAATATAACGTTCCTACTTAAAAAATGAAATTTCCTGCCAAATACACCACTTTTGCCTAGACAATAGAGAACTGTAGATCAGACACATCTGAATTTACATTGAACAAGCATGGAAAATACCTTAAAAATTCCCTTTAAAAACAAATTATAGAACTAGTTGATGGAACTAGCCAAATGCAAAAAAACACAGGACAACAAGAAAGCTAACAATGACCCTTTTAAATAATCTAATATGTATCCATCAAAATGTATTAAGACACAAAGTCATTAAAATAAACACATACAAGGACAAATAACTTCACTTTTCTTTCAGGATATTTTTTGGAAATTCATTATACAATCATTGCGATTACAAAGTGCCCAATCAAAATGTTTTTATTTCCATCTAATTAACATCACGCCTGACTGAACTGAGTGGCTGAACTAAAGTTAAATGTGTAATGACCGGCACACAAACAGACACAATTAACCATTTGCAAAACACCAGAGAAAGAAGTATGAAAAAGTTGTTTTTTTTTTTCTTCCATCTGTTATGATCATGATCATGATATCTTTATCATGATAAAGATATCATAGCTTAACTGTTTGGTTTAGAAAATAAAAACTAATTCAAGTGAAAGGAATCAGACAAATAAAAAAACAAAACTGTTCTGAAACTGAGGAAAAAACTGGAACAGGTAACAAGAAGGAGAAACAAAAAACAGCTAAATAAAAATGAAAAATAAAACGGGGGAATCCCACTGACACTGCAAATCTAGGATCTAGGTAAAACCACTTTGCACATTTGAATATAAATGACACAATTATAGGTTACACCTCAGTGTTTCTGTTTAATTACTCACCCTGGTGACTCCTCGTCCCCTGTCTTCTCCATAATTTGTTCCCAGAATTTCAAAGAAGATGTTGGGATTAGTGCCGTTGTCAGTGAACTCCAAGAAACTGGTGAGACCACTCACTCCAAACTGCAGACAAGAGGAAATGGCATATTGTCAGTATGGGGTGATTTCTCATACGCGTCACCTCTTCCTGCTGACCTAGTCCTAGTTGCCAATATCCACACCTGTTGTCTGTTGTGGGACTCCATTCAGTATTGTGTACATTTTCAGGATTCCTGTGTTTTTTTGTGTGTGCTTTTTGTTGTTATTTGTTCCTTTTGTACACTACCATGCCAAGTTTGGCCTGAACCATCATTTTTTTATCCTCCTCTTTTTCTTCTTCTTCTTTCAACTTTTCCCTCTTCGGGGGTCTCCGCATTAAGTCATCCACCTCCATCTCACTTTGTCCTCTGCATCCTCTGTCCTCACTCCAACTACCTCCATGTCCTCTCTAACTGCATCCATATATCACCACTTTGGCCTTTCTCTTTGTCTTTTTCCTAGCAGTTGCATTAATTATTTATTTCTAAAGCTTCCATTTTAATTAACTTAAATAAAATATAATTTCCAAAGCTGTTGTTCCTGAGTGAGTATCTGACAAAAGCCCACGCATGTACAGGGTAAACATGGAAACTCCACTCAAAAAAGCCACAGGCTGGGGGAATGACTTGTGACTTTCTTACTGAGAGATGACATCACTAACCATTGCTCCACCATGCTACCCCATGTTGACATAAAAAAACTAATAACTAAGAATTTCATTTCTTATGTATGATTTGTTTGATAAAAATGTGACATATATTTCACCATTGCTACTATAAAAAAATATAAAAAAAACACAAGAATAAAGACGTCAGTCATTTTTATGTCTCTGAGAGGTTTTTCCTATTACAAAGAACAGGGTGTGAGTGTTTAGATAAACTGCAATAATAAATCTAGAAGAGTTTAGCTTGGACTTAAAAACAGTCTCATGGGTCCTGACTAGGAATCTTGTTCTGTTTCAAACGGCTTACTCGGCCTTAACAATGGTCAATAAAACATTTTATATCAATCCTAAACCAAAACTGCTCATGTCACTGAGACTGAAAGTAGGTGATATATAAAGCAAGGCTAGCTCAAATGAAAGAAGCACTTAAGGCTTTGGGAATCGGTGTAACAGGTACATCTGCTGTAGTTTACTGTCCATTCTGAATTTGTCAATGAAAACCAAAATGCAACATTAATAGAAACTTCTCTTTAGCAATTACAAAGTAGTTTGTCATTATCATAATGCCCTTACGTAGCAAACCATTGATTAGAAATCAAGGCATGCACAGTGAGTAAAGAATACGCTGATACGCTGTAAAATGGAAGTGATGCCAGTCTGCTGAACTCAACTCTGTTACCTCTTGGGGCTTTTTAAACTCAGCTCTGCAGGGATAGTCATTGGGGCTGCTTTAACAGTGCTGGCTGATGAAAACGTTGCCAAACCTCAGCCTGATCTCAAGGTGAACCACAGCGATAGATATAAAAGCCATTGCGCCACATTTATTATTATTTGACACTAATCCTAAATTAGCATTTCACTTGGCTTTATCATTCAAAGGGCCATCCCTGGAGTAGATTTTTTATTAATATCAAAACAGAGGACATTTATCCAATTGAATTTACCAGTGATGAAAGTGTTGGCAAGCTCTTGTTTAAAGTCAAGGTGAAATGCAGAGATTGTCAAATATATATTTTTTTTTTAAATACAGCATTAGGATAACATCCTCTCCCCTTCTAAAAAAAATAAATAATTAAAAACACTGACTGAACTTTGAAATGTTTTTAACATGCGTAGATCTTTAAAATGAATAATGGTGTAGGTCACAAAATATACTGAGTCAAGCGAAAAAATCAGTTTGCATAACAAAGCACTCACTGTTTTTATCCAGTGATTATCATAAATATTTGTTGCAACAATAGGCACATGATGGTTATGATATTAAGTAATGTTCACTATGAAATAAAACAACCTGAGCTTCTGCAGGGTTGTATAGAGCTGGTGCCTCTACATCCATAAATGCATACATTTGTGGCGTTATATGCAGGGCAAGACTGTTGCATGTTGAGCTACATGCATGTGATTAGTGCGTGAAATGTGGGAACTGTTTTAATCCAGTTGCCAACTGTTGAGTATATATTGAAAAGTGTTGGGTACAAAGTAGGGTACAGTAAGTGGAGGACATGATTTGACCAGCACCCATCATTAAAACATTATCATTATTTTATCACTGACAACCTAGAGCTTTAAGTTGTTTTTTGTTTGTTTTTGTCTAATATATTCAATAATTGCTTTTAAGGGGGTTTTAAAAATGTGAGAAACTGTTGAATAGGACATATGGTATGCTAAAATGTACAAAATTTCAAAATAAGTTTTGGATTTCTCAAGGTTTTTTTTTTCGTACTTTTTGTATAATAAATACAACAAAGTTGTCAGGTCCTCTGGACAGTTTATGTGTTGAAACATTTCGTCCTTCATCCAAAGGACTTCATCAGTCCAAGGAATCACAACAAACTCAGTCCCGCAGGCACACTGCCTACTGTCTGCTTCAGAGGAGTCAACGGGGGAGAGGGCGGACTCCAGAAACCATCTCATCACCATCAAACAGGTCGGTCCACTATGAGTGTGCTGCCTGTGGGACTGAGATTGTTGTGGCTCCTCAGACCTAATTTAACTTTGTTGGATTTTTTACCTGGATTATTGAGCATGATCTTTGATATAATAGGTACACATTTCAGGTTAATGTATGTATAAAATACAGTTGTCCCTTGCTGTATTATCTTGTTTACTCTTGGGATCAACTGCTGGTCCTCCAACCAAAGGAACGAGAAGGCATTTTCCACACAATACCAGAAGAACTAAGGAGGAAGTATCAAGGCTGCAGAGCTGAAGATAAGCAAAGAGCTAAGAAGTCGGAAAAGGGCTGGAGTGTATGTATCTATAAACATATTTAGATTAATCATGAATGTAGTACTCCCTACCTTGTGCATATTTGTTGTTGTTGTTGTTGTTTTTTTCAAATTTGTGTATTCTTTCTTTATGATACTCTCAGATGTAATTGTTTGATTAATTAGGAAATGTTACTTGATGCCTCTGTAGTGAACCTGATCTGACCCTGATCTGACCCTGATGACCTCAAATCTATCAGATGGACAGAGACTGTTATTTTCATTGATCTGAATACAGTCTGAGCCATCTGATGACTTTCTTTCTTGAATTAATCAAGCAGAAAAGACAATTCTCTATAATCATTACTGTTTTACAAATGTTTAATAATCAAATTGTGTTAGTTCCACTCAATGTTACAGGTTGAAAAGAACTACTCATTTTTATTTTACATAAACAGTAAGTAATGATTTTTATTCCTCATTCAAAGAAGAAATCAGGTTAATATGCATTTCTTGATTTTCTGTCTGAAATGAGCCAAGCAACGTAAGTATGTGAAAGTTGAAGCTTCGGTCAACTAAATGTTTACTGAAAAAGAAATGTCATGTTTAATCTTTACAGAAGATACAGAAGAGTTGACTCCACGAAGTCTGCTTTTCTGCAATAATCTCTCTGTCAGTTGTTAAACAAACTCATTCTCTGACCTCGACTTTTGATAACACCTTACGTCAAAAACCACACCTCTTTCTGGTCCATCGACCAATCAAAAGCTCTCAAATGAACCGGAAGTCGACCCATTTAAAATGTGGCAACTTCCCAGTTCATGTTAGAGTCTGGAGTCTGATAGTTCCAGAGGCTGAGGAGATGAAGAACTAGAGAGTTGCTGACAATTAAGAGTCTGAGAAGTTCTGAAGAATGAAAGGAGTTCAGAGTTCTTGGGTGCAAACGCATTCAGGATGTTCCAGAGACGTTTTGGGATTATAATTTCTGTTTGAAAACCACGTACGACTCTCTGAGGGTTTGGTAGTTCTCACGGAGACGCTGAAAAGAGTCAGAAAGGAACCTACGCCGACGCTGATTTCATCATCAAGGTAGATGGTTCTATTTTCGACCAAGTGTACCGTGGGCAAGCTGATATCTGATGGAGCGTGCAATTTCTGGTCAAACAGATTAATTCCCTCACATATTTCTCTGTAAGATAAATCTCCATTTCATCTTAAAACTCTCCTCTTTCTCATAAAATCAGTACAGATATCTTAGGAATATCTGAAGCAAAGTCCTTGATCACCGCCGAGTGATCGATGCTCATTTTCTGTGAAACTTGTCTGTTATTATTTTCATATTTTGCCAAATCAATGTAAATGTTTGATGTTAAACTTTGATTCTGAAAATAAATGACCGCATTGATTTGATGGGTCAAAGATAAATAACGTCTCTCGTTACATTTCTGTTAAATTCAATGCACGACCTTACACAGTCAGAAAGATGAGGAACTCGTGAATATTGTATGCATATATATCTCATATATTGTCATACTACAACTAGTGGCACGTACCTACGTGACTACTACACCTCAAATGTCTGCCCTGGGATTAATATACTGTAGCTACCCATCTATTGTGGTTCACTTCTTGCAGCTTCACTGTATCTTTTTTTTTTTTTAACACGTTTTGTTTTATATTGTGTGTACTGTACATGCCGTGCAGTAATGTACATTCATCTACTCTTCATCATCTTCATCACCATTGCCAAAGTGTTTAAGAGCATGTGAAGTGTTTAGAAGAGAGTGGGGAAGGTTTTCAGGAGCGTGGGAAGGGTTTACAAAGCTTTAAACCTATCTATATAATACAATAAATATAATGCCACAATTTTGCAGATTTTCACCTGCTGCCTGGGTCTCTGGAATGTAAGCCCTGCGACAGGTCAGGGATCACTGTGTTTTCCATATGTATCAATATTATTGTCTTATATATATAT